GATATAGTGGTATGTAAAACAATATTTTAATTTCTTAATATGTAAACGATTATAACATTAATATGAAAATAATGAGTACTTTATGTTTATTCGTATAGTCAACAATAAAAACCATTACGTAGATATAATGATTGTACCATCAAAGCCAGAATTCATAAATTGGATGGTACACTGTATTTTTCATATATAGACTTAAAAGTAAATTTTAAATCAATAAATCTAGATAAAATTTCTAGGTAAACACATAAAATTTAAAGCAGTAATTGATTCATGAAATATATTTGCACGTTCTAATTTAAGTATTCGATTATTGTAATTTATTCATACAAAAAATAATATCTATTGATTATTTTTCACAATTTCTTGCTGATTACTTTATAAACTTTTTACTTTGCTTTATTATAATATCGTTTTATCAAATGGTATATTATATGTTTATTGTTATTTTATTAAATGGCTTTATTTTTATTACCATTCTATAAAACAGTATATCAAATGCTTATTATTATTATTAATTATATTTAATAATTCAGTTAATTACTGTTTTTAAAGAATGTAAGAAAAAATAATAAGTATTTCATAATACTTAAATAACTTTTTATAAATAAAGGATACGTATGTTGTTACTTCTTGTAAATTCAATCATAAGGTAGTAGTTAAAATGTAATAAAACATAGATAAACAGAAAAACAGTTTTCAAGAATTATATAAGTAATTGCAAACCACTGGTGAAAAACAGTAATAAAGAATATACGGTTAAAAAAATTATAAATGTTATATAATATGAAATGTTTGAGAAACGATTAATATAATTATAAGAGGAGCGAATAGCACTAGATTAATGTGTTATATGAAAATTTCAAAAAATTAAATAGTTACAAAGATATTTTAAACTTTTTTTATATTGTTAGAAAAAGAAAAAAATTCGGAAAATAAATTAAGTAAAACATATTTAAATTATTAATTATGAATACTAATTTTTAGTTAAAGGATCAAATATAAAAAATACTATATTACTTTATAAAAATTTTTTTATAGTGAAGCAGAAATACAAATAATTCTATCATTGTACTATATAACTGAATATAAGTAATTTTATAAATATGAAATGAAAGAATTATTTATTTTAAATAAATATGCCAATAATATAGTTTAATAACTTTATTTTTCAAGATTCGTTTATCATATTTGTTCTAGCGCAATGTAAAAGAATTTGAAGAAAATTTTATATGTTAATATGACTTTTATAATATTTTGTATAAATTATGAAAATGTACTAAATTATAAAAATTAATTTTTCTATTATAAATTTCTTTCATCCTACATAATATCATAAATTCAATAATTTATAATTATAAACAATCTAAATCATAAGATTTGATAAATTATAAACTCATAAGTAGTCGTTATTAATTTGCACGAATAATTTTTGATGCATTAGATGAATTTTCTTCTTATATACGAAGAAGAAAATGTTAAACAACTTTAAGTAAATTACATATTAAAAAATAATGTTTGCATATAAAATTATCCTTAATGAACATTTATAATAGATTTATAAAATGTACAAAAAATATAAAAATGATAAAGCAAAATGTATTACAGTGTAATTGAACGTTAGTAAGAATAATCTTTTTTATAAAAACTGTACATCATAGAAAATGTATTTTTTACAAAAATAATTCCTATTTTAAATAATTAATAAAAATCAATATTAAAGCATTGATCAAGATGTCGAGATGAATCAATAAATGTAATGAATGCTCTAAAGGAAAATTAAATATATCTTAATTATTATTTTGAGAATTGTTGTCTAATTTCTTTAACTTATATTCATTTATCTTAGATAATAGTAATTATAATACTATATTTCCTAGTTATTTCAACATAGTATTTGCAATTTATAGATGCATTATATCGACATTAAACTTTATATTAATAACTTAATTATACATACATACACTTTTTCATACTTAACTGATTCAATTTAACATCTGAATTTATTATGAATATGACATGATTAAGTGTGGATCTTCTCCTTGACAGCGTTACATTTCATTGCTATGTAGTATATAAGTAAATCGTAAAAATTAATATTAGTTGTGAAATATTAATGCCAATTAGTGACTTGAATTAACCTTTTGGAAATTGAATTATATCAATATTAATCTCAGTTTTAAATGAAATTTGCGAGTTTGTTTTATAAATTATAAGTTATGAAAATTTTAATCTGTAGCATTAAGTTTTTGTTAATTAAACCCTGTATTATATATACGGTAATTAAATAATATAAATATCAACGTGATTTTCTTTTCATCATTTCAATTAATTATCATATAAAAAGTAATGATTAATATTGATTTGGGTTATTAGTTATTCAATAATTAAATTTCTAAAGATTATTTGCATTCATTTATTTATAGGCGAATTTTAAATATGCGTATTAACATTTTTCTGATTAGATGTAATAAAAAAGATTAACAGATTTATCGAAAGAATTTTTAGGATGTTTATAGATTTTATCGTAAATAATTTAATATTTTTATTTATAAAGTATCGTGAAATATATTTTACAAATTTTTGGATTTCCTATATACTTTTTACGTTTATGAATTTTAAGCTCATTTATATATGCGTTTGCATTGTACATTGAATGAATAATAAATAAATCTTACATTTTATTTGATATCAAGTGCATTATATTTCTTTATTGAATTATGGCAGCATATTTTAGATTATTATAAATTTTTATTACCATTTGGTTCTATATTATATTATAATAGTGTCTTATCAATTAAAGATATGAAAAGAAACCAATATTACCTTTGATTGAAGAAAAAACTAGTAGCTATACTTTAATTACTATTACTTTAACCACTGCTCAAGCTCTCAGATTGTAGCCTATAAATAAAGTATCTTCTCCATCCCGGATGTGAGTTGTTATTCAGCAAACTTGTTTTCTCGACACTGTCCGCTAAAACATCTCATCCAAAACATTCTCAGTTGTTTACTATTTATTTCGGCTTATTTATTCGCTCTTGCTAATATTCTCTACAATTTTGTACTCTTTACTGAAGATAATTATTATTTCCTGAACGACAATTTATTATTAGATAATTTTTTAATTTAAAATTATTAAAGATAATTTTTTATTTAATTTATAAAATATTTCTTAAATAATTATATTAGATTGTTTGCCTTATGCAAACAATTTTTTTAACAGTTATAAGCCTACATGCATTTTCATTTATTTGCTCTTTCTAAGATAGTCTCTTTTAAAATTTACTTATCTATAATTGTTTTAATTGTGCATAAAAGAATAAAATAGCTTTACATTAAAAACTTATAGTTAAAATAAAATCTGCAATGAAAAAAGTATTTAGGAGCCTTGCAAAATTTGAAAATAGTAATTGCTATAGAAAATAGTAAATAATATGATTGATATCATAGGAATTATATATGAAAATTTAAATTAGAATTTTTATAGCAAAGATTTCAAAATAGAAGATTATCAGTAGTTTTACCAAAAATTAATATTTAAAATAATAAAATAAAAATATCTTTGAGAAAATGAAAAAGCATAGAACTATTTTAAAACAATTGTCACTTATTTATGTATATTTAATATTAAATAAATTGTAATTAATTATGTTACTTCGATCGTATTTCCTTTTATATTTTAAAGTCAAAATTTTTTAAAGATAACAGGTTCTTAGTCTCCCATTCCGAAATACTGTCTGGCATGCAATGTCTCGTTCCACTGCGAGAACATGCGTACGCTTAACTAGATTTACATAGTGAAATTATTTGCATATCTGTAAAAGAACTTTAACTTCAATTGAAATCAGCATACTTTTAATAATTATTTTTATTATATAATAAAATTTAATATATAATAAATAAAGATATATATAAGATATTATGTAATAGCAGATAAATTAATTAATAAAAAAATTTAATTATAAAATCATTCAATATATTCAAGATTTTAGTTTTTCGTTTTTTTCTCATGCATTTGGAAAAAATAATTTTATAATTACCCGAAACAATTCTACAATTTTTCATATTTTAATCGATTAAATTTTTAATATAAGTATTAATTTTAATTTTAATTTTAATTTAATATAACTTTTAAAATAAGATTGCATAGTACTTAATATATTATTTATATATGAGACTATTCAATAATTAACATTATTTGTTATGAAGTGAATGTTTTGTAGGTTTCATATGTATTATATCTCTTGCTAATAAATTTGTTATTACTATTCAATCAACTATAATAATCAATAAAGTTCTGTATTAGTGCAATTTTAATATTTTTTAATAAATAATCCTTTGATCTTAAACGTTGAAATAATAAAGCGATAATTACAATTATAATAATGTTAAAAATACAAGTACACTTCATTATGAAAATATGTTATGAAGTACTTAAATAATTGAGAATTTAAAAAAATAATAATTTCTTATGTTAGACTGTTATTAAAATTGAAATATAATTTAAACTTGGTCGTTGCCAACAAGAAAATTGTCAAAGGAATTGTACAATTTTCTTGGAAAAGCAACAAGATCCATCATTAAGATGAATTTCATGCATCTGGCGAGTAACGGCGCAAGAACAAGATAAAGAGGAGCGCTTAGTAGTAAGAGTAGCAAGAGTGCTCGTCGAGAAGAAGATCCGCATCTCTCACCACTTCCTAACGAGGGGGATGCTTTACTTTGTCGGTCCGCTACCACTGTTATCCACTGGACAAAAACAAAGGCTCGCGGACTCGAAAGAAACGGTGAAGAAAGCACGTAGGACAGGGCCCGGCTAGGAGCTCTTGACCTCGTATTGTCCGTCCCTCGTCTACGCCACCGCGCAATGCCAATGTCAACGCCGCGACAGGAGCATTCGTATGTATGCGCGCGCGCGCATAATATATCCCTACCCTCGGACGTTCGAGTTCGACGACTCCCCCCAAGAAGTTTCCTATATAAGGGAGCCGAGACAAGCACTCCTCGTCTCAGAGGATCTCTCGACGGTGCATTAAATATCACAACTCCCAGCTCCTGGCGCACGCACACAGGCATCTTACGATATGAAGGCCTTCGTGAGTATAACGCACGTCATTCGCGTCAAGAATCCGATCGTTGAATTATCTTCTCGTATGACGGCCCATCGTACAGCCTGGATCCTTTATTGGTCACTTGGCTATCTTCGCTCGGAGAAACACAGCCATGATAATAGGATATACCGTTTTAGAATAATGACGAACGAATTTGGGTGAAGAGGAGCAACTTTGAAGTAAGCCATGTGGTCATACATCTGCAACTCATTGCTGTGCTTTTAGATAACGAGGTTACCGGCTTACTCCAAACTGGCTCGTCTTCCTCGGGATAAAACACTAATTTTATTTTAAACGGAATATCTTCGTCCTTTACGTTATACTTTATTTATGCAATGAACGGACAATAGATTTAAATTAGGATACTTTTATGTGAGTAAGATTAAATACTATTGGTAAATTTCTATTGGTATTAAGAATTAGTTCAGTTACCGACAGAATATATATATTCTGACTGCTTATTTATTAATATACGCTTATACTACATCTTTGTATGTATAAATAAATGCATTAAATTATTTTACCAACACTTTTTTATATATATATTAATAATTGTATTTTTAAAAAGTCAAAAGATTGCTCCTTATACTAAAATATTATCTTTCAAAATTAATCTTAACAATTTAGAAATTAATTTTAAATACGAAATTTCAATTTGAAGGTAACCTTGTCTTTTATTCACTTTAATTTAGAGTTTAAAAAAAAAAATATTTACGTAGTTTAAAATTGATAGATATAACATTATACATAATATAGCATAATTATTTTGTAGCTAATTGTAGCAATTCTTATATTTTGTTAATATCTGCAGATATGTAATTGTAAATAAGAATATGAGAAAATTTTTGACACTAACATTGATTAAATACTCGGTAATAAATGATAATTAAGAATTTTCATCTACCTAAAATACTAATTAGATTTTATAAATTAAAGGATTGAAATACAATAAAAAAAAGGAGTTATAAACTTTGTTTATTGTTGTATTTCAATTTCTTAATTTATAAAATTTTTTTTTACACGTATAATTAACAACAATAAACAATAAATAAAGTTTAATTAATTAAATTAATTTAAACATTTCTACTTTTTAAGTCTTAAGTTTAGGCGAAATTTAAGAGAAATTCTTTGGAACAACAAAAAAGTGGTATTTCTTTTAATGGTAGAAAAACATAAGTGCATAGCTAAATTATGAAAATGACGGCTTGGAAGATAAACTGCACACTTAACGTACAAAATAATAGTAAATTATATACTTTTATGTTTTAAATAGAAATTTGTATGGGAATTTTTAAGCACTTTTGCCTCGTCACTATTTCTTTTCTAATTTTAGAAATTGAAAAATTCTAAAATCCATAAATTTTTTTTAAAAATATTAATTGGTATAATTTTAAAAGATAGCATTGCATAATACATTTTTAAATGTTATTTATGTACAATTTTATGTATATGTTGTATTATTTACGATAGAAAAACAGAGAGGGAGAGAGAGAGAGAGAGAGAGAGAGAGAGAGAGAGAAGAAATACGTATTAAAATATTAAGTTTAGTAAATAATTAAAAAAATTTTTAATTTATTATTTATTTATGATTGTGGAAATATTCAACTTTAAGCGTATTATAAAATCAAATCAAATATATTACTATAAAAGTATACGTTTTCACACAAATATTTGGTTTCAATATCAATTTGGTTATTTATTATTTGATATTAAAACTATTTAATGAATACTTTTTTTTTTTATTTATTTTCAAATTAAATGTGATTAATGCACAGAAGTGCGTGTCACTATACTTGATACGATTACTAGCAATTACAAGTTTAATTCAGTATTGAAAATTATACGCGTAAAAAATATCTCCCTGCAAAAATAACACTTTTGTATTCTTTACCGATTGATACAGATATGATATCGCAAAGTCTCATTGGCGCATTACCAATGCATCTATAATTACTATTATATATTTTCTCATATCAGGTTGCATTATTCGTGGTGGCATTAGCTGATCAGAGTATAGCGGCTGTCTTAGTGCCTAGAGACACCCCCGAAGTTGCTGCCGCTAAAGCTGCCCATTTTGCTCAATATAATTACGAGGCGGTAAGAAATACTCTCGGATACGTGCCATATCCGCATTATTACCAGCTCTCCTCTCAAGAACCTTTAGTTTATAACGTGCCAGTGGCCTACGGTCCAGCACCCATTGGAGCCGACGGACGCGTTCTCGATACCCCAGAAGTAATCGCTGCTAAGGTCGCTCACTTCGCTGCTCATGCAAAGGTTGGTTGGTTGTCTTTATAATGCCGTTACTGACTAATCCCGGAAATTCCGTGGCACTATTTCTTCATTTATACAATGCTGAGAAAAATGTCGTTTTAATGAAATGCAGGCAATTATCAGATCGCATTCCAATCAAGCACGCCTTGCACTCTATTCAAATTCCACATAATCACATTGCATTACAATCGATTTTATTTTAAACAGCAAATTTTATCGAGATTTGCTTTCTTTATACAATAGAGTGATATTTAAAAATCGATCATTATAGTTCTATATAAATTTTAAAAATAATAAGCGTCGAAGCGTAAGACGTTTGTTCTAGAGGGGATTCGGGTAAATGAAATTAGGCTTTATTTACTTGAATTCGATGCAAAAGTCACTTATCCACATTAATTGTATTTTATTAAATATCATTGTACAATTAATTTAGTATTCCGAATTTTATAACTGCTTTAAATTTCCAAGCAAAAATCATAATCTCATGAATTAAAATAAAAAGTAAAAATTAGTGCGACTGCTTTCATAAATTAAAATGTAGATAAATATGTCGATAAAAATACAATAAGGAATCTTAAAGATTTTTTTATTGAAAACATTAAAATAAAAACGGCTTATATAACCCGTTAATATAAATTCTAATTGTATTACACCACTCTTATAATACTTAAAATTCTTAAAGTCCTTGGTCAATACTTAAAAATCTTGTCCGACTAGGAAAATTTAACTTCAATAAAGGGCTCATCGCGTGTCATAAGTACGGAAATAAAAAATTGCATTCCACAAACATTCTGGATAACAATTCGCGTCAAGTGTAATCATTCCCATAAAACATCCATTGGTCGCGATCGGCCGCTAATCAACCGCCCATCCTCTTCGCTTCTCAACCTCGCTGTTTTCTCGAGAACAGGCATCTTTGAAGCCATACGGGGCCCTTGCTATCTCGCCATACTATGCTTACGGCTACCCATACACAGCGCCCATCGGTCCGGACGGTAACGTTGTCGACACACCGGAAGTTGCTGCAGCCAAAGCCGCCCACTTCGCCGCTCATGCCGCCGCACATTATTGAGTTGTGCTGTGGTAAGGAGTCTTGGATTGTTAGCGTTGTTGGATCTAAGTGAAGACAAATGCCAAGTTGCAGCGAGACATACAAATTCATCCGGCCTTTCATCGTCAAGTGTTACAAGTTCTTACAGCATCAAGGAATGAATCAGTTGTTGTCGTAAATATGATCGATCGGAAGTACGACTCGTGTGACGCATACTTAATGCACAATCGAGGGACTTGACACTTTTGCTATTTTAAATCTTATTTTCACAATAAAAATTGGAATATTTTTTATTCGACACTGTAATTTGTGAGTATGAATTCGCATTATTTCAATATAACTCATTTGTAATATTTATAATAAATGACGATTCATTGATTGTTAATGCTTGTTGTTTGTTGCTCCTACATCCCGTATCGTTTGATGTATTATTAAGCGATTAATGACCTAAGAGCAAAGTTAGTTGTAGAAAATAAATAATACTCGAGTATTTATTATTTAAAAAATTACTTAATTATTAATCGATCTGTTCTCACGCTACTATAAATATTATACTTATTGATTTAAAATTCGTCTATTTTAAGAAAGGTATAACATTTGAATTAAAATATAATTAGCTAAATAACGAATAATTTTCATATTTTGGTTTTCGTATTAGAAAATATTGAGAATATTAATGTAACATACTAACAGCAAGTAGTTACTCGTAAATTTTTGTTTCGAATCTTTTTTCTATTAAATAATTTAATCTTTGAATTTTTAAACGTGATTATTAACAAAGTATTTACATCTTAATTAATAAGATTTAAAAAAAAGATGAACTGATTTCATTACTTTTGGTATTTAGCTATTGTCTCATTTTTTCTTCATTTCTCTATTACTTTCATTAATATTAGTTTTTACAAATTTTTATACAACTTTTAATGTTTTTTTTTTTATCATTATTAAAGAAATTGTTGATCAATTAATTATTGTATCTGAACCCTACGGATTATAAAGGATTATATATTCAGGTTATAAAATATTGCAGACATTGTCATGAAGCACATATGGTCAATAATTTTTTAAAAACAGTATAATTTATTGATTGCCTATTAATCATTAAAATATTACATGATACAAAAATGAAGTACTTTTTAACACTAATATTATATGTAGCACTTTATATTAAAAATCATATTTACATAGAAAAAACACTATTATGTTTATTAAAATTTAATACATAGATTTAATTTTAAGCAGTTGCAATTGTATAATTTGTAATTTATAATTTGTAATGACCTATTATCATAATTTTTATTGCCGCTGCTAGTACACATTATTCAATAATTTGAACAAAATTATTACAAAGTTGATTAATGATTAAAATAAATGATTTTCTTTAATCAGGTTTTAATTATCGTACATCAATATACACAATGTTTCTTTAAAAACTATTGCACTTATATACATTATCTGGCATAATCACTTTCTATATACTTTTTCGCAAATAAAATATTTTACAAATCTTTGAAATATTCTACATTTATTTGATTCTGAGTAAATTATAATTAGACTTATTATTTAGAATAAAAATATATTAAATTCTATGAAACTCATCTTTCAATAAAAAAAAATGTTTATTATTTATTATAGTTTGCAAAGTTAAATTATTACATTTTATTGAAGGAACAGTGATAATACATCTATGTACAATAATTAATTATATTATATAGAATAATGGGATTTTCTGTTGGTTAATCAACTTTTTCAACCTATGCTTAGTTAATAAATTTGTCTTAAACTATATTTGAAAGAGTAAATTTCTTTTCATATATCTGTTAATATTAGGATTTATATATAGAAAATAAGTTGTTGAATTAATACTAGGATGTACATAACTTTCGGATTTAAATAATCAGATGAAAAATATAGATAATATTATTTTTTTCAATATATAATTTTTCGATACATAATTTAATGGTATGGGAATAATGAAATAAATAGAACTAATAATATTTGTAGTGAAATATTACAATATTTTTATTCTATTTTTAAACCTTCACGTGCCATTTGCATTGCTCCTTCTTCAGTTTTATTTCCTCCAGTAAAAAGATTGACATGAACAAATACGCACTCTTTAATGCCAGATACTTCAACTAGTTTTTCATTCCTTAGACCCCCCCACTTTGCAGGCAAAGTTTTTCTGAAAAATACATACATATAGATATAAACGTGAAAAATATAATTCTCATTCCGGAGTAAAATTATTTTATTTAATAATATATAGAGATTGAAATTGTTTATGGAATAAATATTTAATTATTCATTATTAAATGAATTCTTTAATTTTAAATTTATACAAATTTCTTTAATTTTAGATTAAAATATGATTTTATTCTGTAATTTTTTTTCTCGAATAAATTACATAAATAAATTTAACAATCTATAATATCAATTTTTATATATAATTTTTACCTCAATACAAAACTACCAGGCTTCACAGGTACTGCTTGCACCATGTAATTATTGTTATAAAAAATGACAAACTTTATAATCGGTTCGAGATTAAGATGTTTTTCAATGGCAAAAAAATGTTCCTTCCATGGACATGCTTGACTCAACTTAATTATTTCACCACTTGAATCAACCTAAAAAAAACTTGTTTATTAATATACACATTATTAATCAATTATATTTATATAATGTTTCTTTTTCAAATTAACTCACTATCAACATTGATAGTTAATAATTTATAAATTCATTTGTACTTAGTTATTTGCTAGTAGATATTTAGAAAATGAAAGTTTATAATGTATACGATATAAATAGTAATCAAATTAGTAATAAAATTTGTCAAATTTTTAATAAGCATTTACTAAATATGTGTAAATATTATCAGAAATTAATAATTTACATCTGTGTGTCTAACAAATTCTATACTTATACTTAATATACATTCTTTATATACTTATTTCAGTACCTGAAAGCGGTTTTGAATAGCTGCTTCGACTATCACTTTACATGGTAACCAAATATGTACACAATCATTAACAAAAGATAAAAATTCTTCTCGAACTAGATTTAGTGCTTCAGTAAATTGTGTAGTTTGATTCAAATTACTATTCCATGGAGGATTTAGTTTTCCAACCCTGGATGATAAATCTGTGACTATTCGGTAACTATAATAAATAAAAATTGATGAAATAATGTAGATAGTTTTCTATCAAGAAAAAATTCGACATTTCATTTACTAACACTGGTTCATCAACAGTCATTGATACTCCATTATCTAAAGCATCAATTTCTGTGATTAAATTATCATATACTTTTGTAAAAACTGCTTCGGTATCCTCTTCAGTTATCTCAGGAAATAATTGTTTAATTATTCTGTGTCCAAAATGACAATAGATCAAACCAGCACTACTAAGTTTTATAGTTGAATTATAATTTGGATTTTTTAATACAGTACTAATCGTTTCACTAAATGTTCTGTAATATCAATTTATCACATTGAAAAGAAATTGTAGTAAAAATGAATGCATTGGTTATTATTACTAAATAACTACAGTACAATTAAATTTTTAATTAATTGTAACCAATAAAGTATCGTAATCATTGTAATACCACATCAATATTTAAATATTTTTATTTGCATTTATTTTTTCTTTATGCCTTTGTTTAATTATATACAATAATTTTTAATTGGATTATGAAATAATTTTATTGAATTTGAATTGAATTTAAGTCATCTACGTACGTTTACATATAAATAAAATATTAAATTTTTTTAAGAATATTTAAGTAATTATTATTATATCATAAATTAGATAAATTTAATCAATTTTATAATAATAACAATTAACTATACTTCATATGGTGATCATATCTGTGAATTTTGGGATCATATATATCACCAACATCAACAACTACATCGCAGGTTTCTAATATTGATAACTCTCGAGTCCTAAAAGTAAAATAATATTGCTCATATTAATTCATTTAAAAAAAAAATTTTTTTTTTATCATTCATAATCAAATTTGTGTAATTTATTATTAGTCAAATTTAATCAATCGGCTAGGCGTAATTATATTATCAAAGTATTTAACTTTTAAAAATGCATAATATATACAAATTTTAATACATTAATCATTATTACTTAATATATTATATAAATTATTAAAAACGTTCTTACTTTAATTGACAGTTAAAAACACGAGAATATACTTAAAAATTTAAATATCGTTAAAAAAATTTTAAAATGAAGATGAAAATAAAAATAATGACTCAACAATAGAACAAAATAAATAACCACATTATTTACTAAGATTAAGCAATCTTGTATATATTATTCAAACAATCGTAAATGAAAAAAAAAAATTAGAAAAACAAGAACCTAAATAAAAATAAACCTTAATACATAGAATTAAACCGATTTTAATTTTCAACATAACCTCCAAAATATTAATAAATATCATAAATTCGTATATTTTTATTATTAAATTTAAAGTTTTTATTTACCGCACAATCTCGGCATCCTTATACTCAGGAAGAATTTTAAGCATACAACAAGCAAGTACTTCATCGCAATGAAATATTCCATTGTGTGTTCCAATTTTAACTGAACTCATTTTCATAGATAATGTCGAAAATTTTCTATAATTTAATTTATTAAACTGAAAACTTTTATTATAAACGAATTTGATGAAATATCTGGTCATAAACCACTCGCTTAACATTTGACAATATTCTATAAAATTATATTGTTATGGATGTTAGAACACGTGTACACCTAACATGGTACCTTTATTTTTTGAAATTCAATTAAAAATGGCAAACAATTTTTAGGTTTCTGTATACTATTGTCGTAATTCTGATTGGATATTATACGTGCATTAAATTTAAAATTTTTGCCTGAAATCGGATGAGGTTAAGAAAGAAAATTTAATAGAGATGAAAAATTTGTATAAATATTTCGATCATTATATTCGATAATTGTAATTTTTACAATAAAACAATTAACTCATTAAAAATTTCATAGTTAATATTTATAAAAAATTTTTAATTAAAATCTTTAGTTTATGAATTATTTTTAGTTATTGTCAATTCAGTTTTTATAGTATGATACATAATAATAAAAGAATTACAATAATGCAGCCTAAATTAAAAAATTAATATGTCTATTCAAAAGTTTTATCACAATTAGTATACAATAATTTAATTATTCTCTATTTAACGAATTTATAAAAACATTTTAATTAAATATTTATGAATGGATTCCAAAAAATCTTGATTAGATATTTTGAATTATACTTTTAAAATCATTTTATTACGAAAAGCAGTAAAAATTTCTTTTTTAAAAAAATTGTTTGTTTTAGTTATGTAATAGAAAATAATTTATAGTTGAAATTTGAAATTACTCAACGTACTGTAAAATATAAAAATTCTTATTTAATTTATCAGGCCTATTAGTATAATCAGAACAAAAAATTCTTATATGTAAATTAATTACTATAGCCTATTCCTCAAAAGTATTTGTGTTCATTATACGAATATTTATATACGATCATCATTATTAACATTATCAATATGTCGAAACTGATTACAATTATTATTAAATTCAAATTCTACAAAGCAGCTCAGAGAATGATAAAGACAGATTTTAAGAAATATTAGCATATTATAAATGAATATATATATTTTTGTAATTATTAATATTGTTTGAGAATGAGAGACTCCGTTTAGTAAGGCAATAAAATATCTGACAAGTAATATCATGAACATTGTATTTAAGACTTCAAAACTTTCCTGCTCATAATTATTTGTACTAGTGTCATAAAACATCTGGAAAACTCTAGCGAAATGTGCTCATACTCCCAGTGCAGTAGAATCTAATGGGTTTATTGCCGGGAGAACCCCAAAGTAGATTCAGAACGAATATCAGATATGCGTAAAGCATTGAGTACAAAACATTTACTT